CCTAACTTGAGATAAGATACGATGCTGTAAGATAAGATAAGATTCCTAAATTAAGGTCAGATTTGCTTCTGTAATATGAATTTGTGAAAAATCTTATCTTGACCTGTCAGACAGAAAGAGAGGAAGTTTCTGTAATACGGCCCCTGAAGTGTGAACATAGCTATAACATCTAAGGACGTTCTTTGGTTCTTTTCACAGGTTCCTCAACCAGATGCTGACGATTCAGCTCCTGGTGGGGAGTCGTTACAGAGGTCAGTATGTTCTATAATAACATTAACTCAGACCGTTACACTGTATAAGAGCATTTCAGTGCTGTAAACACTACCTTGCGTCTGTATGCAGTACTTGCTGACCTTATTTTTGGTTCTTGTTGTGATGTTAGAGCTCTGCATCACCTCGGAAGACTGAAAAGCCTCGTGGATGAAATGAACGAGAAAAAGACCAGAGAACTGCAGCAGAGGGGGGATGCTGGACAAAGCTAACTGCCTGTGTCTTTCACACGTTCCCTGATGGAACTGATGAAGGGTTTGCTGATTAGACACAGGGGTGTTAGAGAGGAGGAGTCACGACATGCCGTCCTGCTGCCCTGCACTGCTAAATAAAGCAGATAAAGAGCTGCAAAAGAGTGAAGTCATAAAATTGCCAAAATGAAGAAACAGCACAACGTGACATTATTGTATCTGCAGTGCCTTATGAGTTCTCAAGCACAAAATATGTGTCATGATACCAATAAAATATAATTAGTTCTCACAATAAAGTCTTATTTCCTGTCTTTTGGTGCTGATTTTTGAAGCTGGTTTATAAGTTCTGTCTTGGGCTAAAGGGCAGTTATGATCAGTGATAGAAGAAACAAATAATGATATATTGTTGTGACGGTAGAAACAAGTGAGACAATCTACAAGTCTTGGGCAGAGGCTTCGAAACAAAACAAAACAAGAAAAAATTGGCATTTTATATGTTTTATGTTTATGTTTTTTGTCTGACAGAGGAAGGGAGGATCATATATATCTGTATGTGTGTGTGTGTGTGTGTGTGTGTGTGTGTATCTTGCTTGTTGGAACAAAACCTTGTATTTCCAAAATAATATTATAATAGTAATAAATAATACTAACTTTACAGGAGAATGAAAAAACATTTTACTTTTAATGTAGGTCATCACCATAGCAATGGCCAAGCAACAACCTAGCAACCCTCTAGGATACCATAGCAATGACCAAACAACACCTTAGCAACCATCTAGGACACAATAGCACATTAAAAAAAAACATACTTTTAATGTAAGTCACTGGCACCAGACTTTTTGTCCAAGTAATTTGTAAAAGTTGTAATTTTGTAAATTTTGTAAAATTTTTGTCCAAGTAAATTTCATCATGAAATTTACACACAATGTAAAGGGCAACAGGCATTTTCAAATGATGTCAAAAACTGAAAAACAAAAATGTAGATAGGAGGTTTTGTTCCGACAGCTGTGATATACAAGTATGAAAAAGTTTTGATTTTAACACTTTGAAGCACAATTATGGTTTAAAAAAAAAAATTTGGCCTGTGAAAAAATTATGACATTTTATGTGTTTTATTTTTTTGAACTACAGGTCATGGACTAATGTCCTCGGTTTCCTCAGTGTTAATATTCTTTCGGACCCTGACCTATTTGGCAACCTGAGCCGAGTTCCCAGATTTCAGCACACTCCAATGTTTGAGGAACAGAATTTTCAGTACAGCTTTGAGTGTCCCAGCAGTTCAGAAGGGAGATCACAAACATATAAAATAAAATGTAATTAACCCATTTACAACAATTAAAATGAACAAATGCTGTTTGATTTTAAATGATCAAATTTGGCATTAAATCTAACCAATTTAGCATAAAATTTAAACTGCCTACTAACTAATCTGAAAATGTAATAACCCTCCTGTTTCACATCTCTAACATTCGTCAAAGTCAGGAATTTTGGGAAAACACAGAAAATTTCCAAATATAACCTCAAACAATAATTTCTCTCAAAAAATCTCATAAATATCCACAAATTGTAATATTATTGCAATTTAACTTGTTCTGAGTCTGGCGGTACCAATTTTTAAATTTCAGCTTTGTAGTTTGTGCCTAAGAGCCATTTCCTTTTATATTATTTTCCTTTTTAGTCTTTATTTAGTACTTTTTTAGTCTTTCATCCTAAGGAGTGACTTTCTAAAAATACATTTTATATATTCTCATTAAAAATGAATGTTTTGTTCATCTCAATGTGATCATTTCTCATGAAGTGGGAAATTTGCTGATATTATGAACAAATCACCTCAACATTTTGACCACCTCACATACACAATACACAAAGACTGTGTCTAGGAGAACCCAGCACATTTCAAAGGGGCGCCACTCTTCATTAGATCAACTGAGAGTTTCAATGAAATCTGCTTTTTTTTCTTTAGTGTGTGTTTGAAGGGAAGTGTCAACCTTTATTTACTCTCGAAGCACATTTAGGCTGACCCTCATTCACACTGTAGCTGAGCGTTACACAAAAACATTGGATTGAAAAGAGTAAAAATGATTTGTGATAGTAAAATTAAAGCATAAGACCAAACATTATTATTGAAACAGTACATAAAACAAATAATTGGAAGTGTTAAGACAAATAAGATTAATGACCAAACAAATCAATGCAATCAAATAAAACTATTAAGCAGATTAGTAATGAAAATAAATAAATAAAACAACTGAGTGGGATAAGAAAAAAAGGTAAAATAGAAAACAATGCTAAAACTAGAAATAATGATAAAATAGTGACATGATAATGTATCAATTAAATCATAACTATAAAAAAATCAACCAAGAAAATAACCTAAAAAAAACAAACAAACAAACAAAACACACCACACACACACACACACACACACACACACACACACACACACACACACACACACACACACACACTCCCTTTTCCCCACACAATGGATGGTGGTTTAGTGCTGTTTGAGGTCCCTTTGATTATTTATACAAATTGACACACAGAATTACCAGAAGGTGCACTGACCTTGTATCTACACTGACTGGTCACTTATTATTGGAAACACCCTCCTTATAGGTCCCTGTGTAGGTGCACAGTTTCAGACTGTAGTCCATCTGTGGCTGCTTGGGTTTTCACCCCTCCTCTACCAAATCATCACTGGTCAGTTTCTGACCACAGGGCTGCTGTTGTTGCAGATATTATTTGGTTGTTCATTCTCAGCTCAACCATAACTCTGCTATCTATCTATCTATCTATCTATCTATCTATCTATCAGACACACAGACATATACATTTATAAACAACCCCATTTTCAAAAAAGTTGGGACGCTGTGCAAAATGTAAATAAAAACAAAATGCAATGATGTGCAAATCATTTAAACCCCATATTTCATTGAAAATGCTACAAAGACAACATATCAAATGTTGAAACTGAGAAATTTTATTGTATATTTGATCATTTTGAATTTGATGCCAAAAACACTTTCCAAAAAAGTTGGGATAGGGGCAACAAAAGGCTGGTGAAGTTGTGTAATGCCAAAAAAACACCTGGTGGTTTATTAGCATCAGGTCAGTAACATGATTGGGTGTAAAAGAGCATCTCAGAGAGGTGGAGTCTTTCAGAAGTAAAGATGAGGAGGGGTTCACCACTCTGTGAAAGACTGCACAATCAAATAGAGCAACAATTCAAGAAAAACATTTCTCAACATAAAATAGCAAAGAACTTCTGCTTTTCATCATCTACGGTACAAAATAACATTAAAAGACTCAGAGAATCTGGAGAAATCTCTGTATGTAAGGGACTGCACTTTTTTTTTAGAAAGAAAAAAATACTCTAGACACTTTGAAGTAATATAAATAAGAAATATAGAAATATCCAAAGAAAACTTTGGTTTTTTATTATTTATTTGAAAAAAATCTAAAAGCATTTAATAAATATCTGTATTTCTTGCTAAAAAATAATACATTTAATTGACACATTTATATCCTACATCTTCCTAAAGATTGGTAACAGGGTTGCAAAAAATGCTGTACATTTCAGAATGATTTTCTGGTTAAGCGCACACCTCCATTAATACTTTGTCTAAAATCGCCAAAGAAAAAAGCACATTTATAAAGAGTTTTGAGGCCTAAAATAAAGTCTATTCACAAGAAGTGTCTTAAACATGCCAACTTAAAGCCTAACAGTGAAGGCCTGTTAGTCTGTCAGCATCTGAAAGAATAGCTGAAATTAAACAATTCATTTATTTGGTTAAGATTTTTGACTCCTGCTTTAAGTCTTTCATTTTATCATTATATAACATTCAGAAAAGGGATAATGTTGATTACAGTAATATACTGCTGTCAATGTGTAGTCTAGTAAAAATACAGTACAATATATCTTTAATGTAACATACATTACAGTATAAGTGCTGTAAATATTAATTACAGTAACTGTCTGGCAACAACAGTTATTTTTTTACAGCACAGTACTCATACTCGTCTGACTCATCTGGACTTATCTAACTAGTAACCTCTGCATTGTGATCTCAGTGTCACTGCTGATCTCATTCAAGGTCTCAAAACAGCAACTCTGCTGGGAAATCAATAGTCCAGTGCTGCCAAAAGGGTGACTGGACAGCTGAAACGTGCGTTACGTTCAGTCATCAGAGTCCTGACTAAATATAAATGGGTCTGGACAGCTCTTCATACAGCCCTTCTACATTGCTGTTGGTCATTTCCAAATTACAAAAACTTATGTTGTAATGAAGTTAACTTAAGCAATTGTTAGGACTATACCTAAAGCATGGTTTAAATGTATAGTCAGTAAAAAGTGAAATAAAGAGTGATTTGAATGTAGTAAAGAGTGATATGAATGCAGTAAGGAGGCCCGTGAATGCAGGAAAGAGTAATATGAATGCAGTAAAGTGTGACGTGAATGCAGTACAAAGTGATGTGCACACAGTGAAGAGTGATATGAATGCACTAAAGAATTATGTGTATGCAGCAAAGAGGGACATGAATGCAGTAAAGAGTGATGCTCATGCAGTAAACAGTGACATAAATGCAGTAAAGAGTGATGTGCATCCAGTAAAGAGTGATGTGATTGCAGTAGAGTGATGTGCATACAGTAAAGAGTGATGTGCATGCAGTAAAGAGTGATGTGCATACAGCAAAGAGTGACATGAATGCAGTAGAGTGATGTGCATACAGTAAAGAGTGATGTGCATACAGTAAAGAGTGACGTGATTGCAGTAGAGTGATGTGCATACAGTAAAGAGTGATGTGCATGCAGTAAAAAGTGATGTGCATACAGCAAAGAGTGACGTGATTGCAGTAGAGTGATGAGCATACAGTAAAGAGTGATGTGCATGCAGTAAAGAGTGATGTGCATACAGCAAAGAGTGACATGAATGCAGTAGTGATGTGCATACAGTAAAGAGTGATGTGCATGCAGTAAAGAGTGATGTGCATCCAGTAAAGAGTGACGTGAATTCAGTAAATACTGATGTGAATGAAGTAAAGAATTATGTCCCTGCATGTTGTGCATGCAGTAAGGAGTGATGTAAATGCAGTAGAGTGATGTGAGTGCAGTAATGAGTGATGTGTTTTTAGGTTGAAGAACCAATAGACGGAGACGACACTGCCTTGAATGGAATTCGTCTGCACTGTGTCAACACCCCCACAGGCATAGAATGGAATTCAGACTTCGCCACAGTGAAGTCTGAAACAGGAAGGTGAGTGGCTTACAAATGATCTTTTAAAATAAAATTTTCTATATTACAGTGTAAGTATGGTTTAGTGCAATATATCAGCCTGTACTTAACTATACATCTCACCATTAACCAAAAATATAAACAAATTTGAGTTGAGTTTGAGATTATTTGGGCTGATTTTTTTCCTTAAAGCCACTGTCTACTCAATTTCAAGATTTTCTTCTATTATCTATAGTTTTTGTGATAATTTTACTCTGGCAGAGAAAAAATGCTGTTGGTCATTTCTGTTGAGAGATTTTTTAAATTACTATTTTCCTGCCATGACTAAATTTGGCATCAGATCTGCCAATCAGAGTTAGCAGTGTGTACAGCTACTCACGTTCCTCTCCTTCTCAGAGAGACTGATCTCCCCACTCCTCAGAGTCCCAGACCAAACCCCCAGCAAGCAGCTTATTTAAGCTTTTCTAAATGTGTTCCTGGGGCTTGTTATGAAGGTTTATTACGCTGTTGTTTGTAGCTTAGCTAGATGCTGTTTCCTACTTGTGTTAGCCACCTGCTACAGGATCCAGCTGTAAGCGATTAACTTCATTTATGAGAAAGAGCGATGCCTAACAACCCACCTTAACTGTAGGAATAAAATGAGATGTTAGCAATAAGACGTGAGAAATTTCTAGTGTCTGCAAATATGACAGTGCTGATTCATAACGGGAGCTCAGCCTAGTTAACCAGCTAGCTACAGGTTACAGATATTACGTTAGTGCTGAGTTTTCAAATAGCAGACACAGTATGTCCATGATCTCCCCGCCATAAGGTGAAAGAGTTCTTGAACATTAGCTGTAAAATGTAAGTAGGTCTCTACAATGACCGCCAGGGTTTTGTGGAAACATCAGTGCTATCTGTCTTTATGTTCTTTTACCAGCTGGGGTTCGTGGCAAGGACCGAAATACTGTCCATCTGGGATGCTGATGGCTTTTCAGCTCCGTGTTGAAGGTCCCCAAGAAGATGGTGACGATACAGCTGCAAACAACATAAGGTAATGACCATAATTTTGTATTCAAGACCTTCCATAATCTTAAACCCCACTACTGTCTATTTGACTGTCTACACTCACAGAAAAAAGGTCAGTGGGGTGGTCCTCCTCAATTTAATGGTCATCATTAGTGAGTTTACGTTGTGTTTATTTTCATTTATGCCATACGCTGTCTTGACTAGACTTTTTATTTTAATATTTATGAGGTTAAAGGTTAAAATATGACAGTTTCTGCTCCTGAGTGGTGCAACTGTCTGAGCAATGGCCCTGTCATCAGGAGATTGCGAGTTTGATCCCTGGTGATGCTACAGCTCTCCACGGCCAGGAGTCCAAGAGAGCACAGTTGGCCTTGCTCTTTCTGGGTGGGTAGGATAGCCCCTTGTCTCCCTCATCACTTAGCGTGATGTTAGCCAGCGCAGATGTCTGTTAGCTGACGTAACAGAACTGGCGGAAAGCTCTGAGCGCACTCTGCTGTCCAATGACGTTGTGTTAGCAGCACTTTGAAGCTTGTGTTTGCCTTTATCCTCCTTGCACTGGTGGTATCGTGTGAGTGGGGGAATCCCACAATAACTAGCAGGTGGAATTGGATATGACTAAATTGGGAAGAAAATTGGAAAACGATTCACAAAAAATAGATCAAAATGCCACTTTCCTCGAGGAAGGTGAATGCAGCATACTGTTAAAACTCATTTAAAGTGTACAGTTAGACCTAAAAAGAATGGTTTGGTAAAAAAATTGGTACACAGATACACTTATCCCAGATGTAGTCAATTGCTTGAGACAGAGTCCAAATTTTGCTTCTTTAGTTTAGAACTGAAGTTTGCTAGCAAACACTAGAACTCAGTGGCCACCCAAATAGCTCAAACTGTTTCTGTAAAATTACATTCCACAATACTTCTCTTAACCCACCCAAACCTCATCCAGGTCTTCATTAAGGTTGAGCAGACAGGTCACAGTACGGCTCACTGCGATGTATAAAATTGAATAAAACTGCAGGCAGCTACTCAGACAACAGAATCTGTATTCACAAACCACCTCAGGAGTTTCTAGAATCAGTATTTGTGACGATGAGTCATAAATAAGGAGAATCTTATCCTGCTTTGTGAATACCAGCCCTGTTGATGTCTGAAATGGCTGCCTGTAGCTGTGAAATTTTGTTCATTTTTACAGCTCATAGTAAGTCATGCTGTGTCCTAAACTACATCTACAAGTCTGCATGATCTTAATGAAGACCCGGATGAGGTTTGGGTGGGATGAGAGAAGTATTGTGGATGTGTTTTCACAGAAACAGTTTGAGCTATTTGGGTGACTACTGAGTTCCAGTGTTTGTTAGCAAACTCCAGTTCTAAACTAAAGATGTTTGGACTGGGATAACATCTGCGATCTTAATCTGAGATCTCCAAGTCTAAACTGAAGGAGCAAAATTTGACCAGATCGTATCATCAAAACTTCGACCCTGTCAAACTGCATCCAGGTTGAGAGTTCGGTACAACTGTGAGCTATAAAAATGAACCAAACTTCACTGCTACTGGTGATGAATACCAGGGCTGAATTTAACAAAGCAGGACAGATCTTGGATGAAAGTCCTCATGAAAGTCCATCAGAAATACTGATTCTACATCAGCACTCCAACTACTCCTTGTTATTTGTGAACACAGACCCTGTTGCTGGTAATTTTATTCATTTTTATAGCTCACAGTAAGTCACACTGTGTCCTAAACCACATCAAAAAGTCTGTGCCACCTTAATGAAGACCTGGATGTGGCTGAATGAAACTTTGGTGATGTATTTTTTACAGAAATGATCTGGACGACTTCTGTGACTGCTGAGCTCTAGAGTTGGTTTTGTTAGCCTCGTTGCTCCAGTTTTAAATCATGTCATAGATGTAATCTGATCTAAATCATTGCCAGGTTCCAATGCAGCGGAGTTGACGTAGATTTTCTTGGTTGGGGCACGTCCTGGGGCGAATGGGGCAACTGGAGTAAGTATTGCACAGGAAAGGGGATCTGCGGCATCCAGACAAAAGTAGAGGCACCACAAGGGTCAGGAGACGACACCGCTCTCAACGACGTTAAGTTCTTCTGCTGCGATTGAGGTACAAAGAATTTCAGCTGAAATATTTTAAATATCTGTTGGTTTTTTAAGGCACTGAATGCCTTTTGTTATTCACACCAATAGAACCCTGATTTATACGGAACAACAGTTTGACAGGACGTCTTTCTGTTCTGTGTGTTCCAGGTGCCGCCCGTCATTTGATCCAAAACGATGTGTACCAAGATGAAAACATGATGGACCATCTCTCCGCCTCTCTTTCTCCAAATGTACAGTGCTGTCCAAAATTATTCTGAATAAATATGAGAAAAATACATACTAAAAATGTAACTGATGTGTTTCTATGATCAACACTGTAAATCATCAAATACACTTAGTCCACCTCCTTGTTTCTACACTCATTGTCCATTTGATCAGCTCCACTGACCATATAGTTTCACTCTGTAGTTCTACAGTTACAGACTGTAGTCCATCTGTTTCTCTGCATACTTTTTTTACCCCTACCCCTTGTTTTTGAGTGTCTTCTTGCCCCTTGGAACTGAGTTACAGGGTAGTGGTTGAAATCGTCCCTCTGAAATGGGACCCTCAAATAAAAAGAGCATCACTTCATTAACAGCTACCAGCGCTGCTCTGTAGGTGACCCTGCCAGTCTGCAGTGACAGCAGAGGAGGGTAAAGTTCAGCTGGTAACACTTTACATTAAGGGTCGCTAATCAATCATTAATTATATAATAATCAACTATTAGTTTCCCATTATTTAGTTATTAGTTAACTCTTCATTAAGCATTAGCTATTACTTAGTAATTGATTAAGCACTTATCAATTAGTACACTGTCAGGTCATAAGTTAGTCTGTCGTTAGTGTATGGCTTACTAACTCATTATCTGTGTGCTAATTGCTGCTTATTACATTGTTATTGAACTGATAAGTATTTTTCTTCATATAAAGAAGTAACGTGATAACTTACTAGCACTTATGTGTTAATCCTGCTAATTATCTGTTAATTAACTTTCCATCACCTCCATATATTCAGTTGCTTCACTTTTCTCACTTTGGTTCATTAAAGATGCTTATGGTCACATCTGACCGTAAGATGAGTGCACACAAATTCACTGACGGTTTTGTTATTCATCACGTTCATCTTGGCATATCTGTACTCATATCTGGTAGGAGTGCGTATAAATTTGGGCATAAATGCTGGATATGTGGCTAATTAACCAAAACTATTAGCAACGTAATCTGTAATTGCAAAAATAAGAACAGTAGAAAATTTCAATAATACTAATTTGTGTGCAGGACAGTCCAGTACAAAAGTGGATGTACTTACTTTACATGCACATTGATATAAACAAGTGCTGCAACTATTTCATGTTCCATTTAAAGACACATCACACTGTGCTTTTGTTTCATACTACTGACTCACAAACAGCTTCGGTCATACACTGCAATAATACAGCGTTTATTTTAGGGAATTTATTACACTAAACAATCACTCTACTGTGTTAACAACACTGAGTGTTTAGTTTTATTTCACATTTTATTTTTTCCAGTTGTTTTCATTTTAATACTATTAAGTTTGGTCAGCAGGGGAGGAGTGCACTCACTGCTGGACATCAAACTCCACCCACGAGCACGGCCGTTAGCTTTCATGCCAAACACTGCCATTTTATTGGCTGGCTACTGAAACATCTGCATGAATTAGTGTGTGCTTCATGTAAATGATATGTAAATGAGGTGCTGGTCGGCTGGTTTCATGCACTGAAGCTGATTTATCATTTATGCTCAAATCTCCACTTGTTTCCACATCGTACAAAATTGTTATGAATCAGATGCAGAGCAGTTCATACCGTATAAAAGGCAAAAAACGTGTTCTTTTTTGTGCGATTTTGATGATTAATGGGCCCTTTTTCACAAGATTCGTGATTATATCCGGTTTAAGCATTAGCAGGGTAAAACTCACTTCCTCTCCATATAGTTATCTACTGCAGATGCGCTGTCAGAATGTTTAATAGTGAACTGTAATGCTCAAACTCTGAGCTACAACAGCTATGTTTTAGTTTTCCTGCTCGGCTGTGATAGTGAGAGTAAGAAGTGGACGGAGGCGCTGATTGAACTGTAAACAGAGCTGAGTTGATGCTGTATGTTGTTTTTACTGCAGTTCTGCTTCACATCAAGCAGCCTCTGTGCTTTTGTACAACACGCCAGCGATTCGGTAATATTCTGTTTTCAAAAGAAAGAAGAACTTTTATATGTAGCATGAATTTTATAGACTCTGTTTATATTAAGCTAGCTACGCTGGCTAGAAGCTACTGCTAACCAAACTAGCCCGGCTAACATAAAGCAGCTTTTTCAAACGCCACAGCAGAACCGCGGTGCTGAGATACAAGTTAAATTAGCTAGGAGTCTCGGTTTTGGTTGCGCAGTGAAAGGTGGATGTTTTCTGAAGTACTGCTTCAAAAATTGCCATGAAACTGTAAGTATAATGCAGTTTGGCAGATCGCTAACATAGCCAGCCAGCTAGCTTTAAAGTCTGCTACTCATACGAAGCTGGTGCTCAAACTGCTAACGGTAGGCTAGCTAATTAGCGACTGTAATAGCCTACCGTAAGCTAATACAGCTTAACAATGTCTATCAAATGGACTTTACATGTAAAAGTGTTTGTTTGTGTTTATGTCAGAAGTCTGGCATCCTGTAGCTAAATGTGTCACAGAACCTGCTCCACGTTAGCCGGCTGGTGCCAGCAGCTGATGAAAGCTAACTAGTTAGCTTCCTTATTTTGGGAACACAGCTACAGTTAGAAATGGCTTCTAGCTTTGCTAGCTAACCCAGCTACAGCTAAACAACATCTACCAAATTCATACTACACAGAAGAACTTTTATTTGTTTTGAAAACAGAAATATTACAGAAATCGCTGGCATGTTGTACAACTACAGAGACACTGCTTGATGTGAGCAGCTGCAGCAGCAGTAAGCAGGGCTCCACCACCCATTACTGCTTTTGTGTCCCTCCAAGTAAAGTGACAACCTAGGAATTTAAGAAGCAATGATTGGTTAAAATGTAAAGATCTAATGGCCATTAATCATCAAAGTCGCGTAAAAACGAACATGTTTTTTTGCCTTTTATGGTATGAACTGCTCTGCGTCTGATTCATAACAGTTTTGTACGATGTGGAAACAAGTGGAGATTTGAGCATAAATGATAAATCAGCTTCAGTGCATGAAACCAGCCTACCAGCACCTCATTTACATATCATTTACATGAAGCACACACTAATTCATGCAGATGTTTCAGTAGCCAGCCAATAAAACGGCAGTGTTTGGCATGAAAGCTAACGGCCGTGCTCGTGGGTGGAGTTTGATGTCCAGCAGTGAGTGCACCCCTCCCCTGCTGACCAAACTTACTAGTATTAAAATGAGAACAGCTGGAAAAAAATAAAATGTGAAATAAAACTAAATACTCAGTGTTGTTAACATAGTAGAGTAATTGTTTAGTGTAATTAATTCCCTAAAATAAACGCTGTATTATTGCAGTGTATGACCGAAGCTGTGTTTGTGAGTCAGTAGTATGAAACAAAAGCACAGTGTAATGTGTCTTTAAATGGAACATGAAATAGTTGCAGCACTTGTTTCTATCAATGTGCATGTAAAGTAAGTACATCCACTTTTGTCCTGGACTGTCATGCACACAAATTAGTATTATTGAAATTTTCTATTGTTATTCTTATTTTTGCAATTACAGATTACGTTGATAATAGTTTTGGTTAATTAGCCACATATCCAGCATTTATGCCCAAATTTACATGCACTCCTACCAGATATGAGTACAGATATGCCAAGATGAACGTGATGAATAACAAAACCGTCAGTGAATTTGTGTGCGCTCATCTTACGGTCAGATGTGACCATAAGCATCTTTAATGAACCAAAGTGAGAAAAGTGAAGCAACTGAATATATGGAGGTGATGGAAAGTTAATTAACAGATAATTAGCAGGATTAACACATAAGTGCTAGTAAGTTATCACGATACTTCTTTATATGAAGAAAAATACTTATCAGTTCAATAACAATGTAATAAGCAGCAGTTAGTACACAGATAATGAGTAAGTAAGCCATACACTAACGACAGACTAACTTATGACCTGACAGTGTACTTAATTACTAATTGATAAGTGCTTAATCAATTACTAAGTAATAGCTAATGCTTAATGAAGAGTTAACTAATAACTAAATAATGGGAAACTAATAGTTGATTATTATATAATTAATGATTGATTAGCGACCCTTAATGTAAAGTGTTACCATCACCCACCCCTAATTCTTAAGTGATAAGAAGCTGAAGTCAGCTAACAAGTTCGCCAGCCTCTTATTCAAATTTTCCCGTTCCACCTTAAATGGTGCAACCTGAGGTGCCAGAATGTAACTGCTGCACCATTAAGGTGGAACAGCAAATTTAGCTAGCTAGCTACTTGCTTCTTGGTATGTGAAACGACATTTAACTAATATAATATGATGGTTATTGTAATTTTAACAGAGAAAATACTCACATTTGTTTGTTTCTTTGGTCTCTTGCGCAGTCATTTTCCATTTTTTTCTCATAACGCTCTATTTGGAGTAAGTCTCTGAAAACCTCTGTTTGGAGGGTCATGTAGCCCCAACACTTTGCCCTATTCCTCTGTCTCAACAAAAATCAGGACACCCTACCTCTAGACGTGAACGTGCAAAACGGAGGGGTAGGGCTAAGTGGTAGTGGTGAGGGGTGAAATGAGATTGGGCCATGTTGTGTTATCTCCAGGCCTTTTTTATTTTTCTTTTTTAAAAAATTACATTATGAAAATGTCATTTTTTCTGGGAAAACATATTTAATGGACTCAGACCTTAAGGCCACTGTTGCACCTTTGAGGGTACATTTGCATTGTTAGTGCCTTTATGAACAAAAAAAAATATATATGTACACTACAGTTTTTTTCTGACAGTGTACATGTGAAATGCAGGAATAATAGCCCTCTGAAGCTTGGCGGGGAGAGTAATGATTTTTTGTTTTCACTCACAGAAAACTAATCAAATTTTATCATCTTAAAAAATGCACCTTAATAAATATTCAGTCTCCATTTGATTGGGAAGGCCTGTGACAAATCTGGGTGGACCCAGGCCAACCCATGGCTGTGCCTCTGTTCTAAATGTTTACTGTTAAAAACGAAAATAGCTCAAAATTATAAGCTAACTGATTACATTGCTTTTCTTGGGTTGATTCAACTTGAGGACACCAGACTTCACACAACTCAAACTTCTTAGTTGAGTCAATAGTTCTCCTAACTCTCACTTTTTA